TTCTAATGAATCCAACAAGCTCACCAGATTATGAGTTTCTTAAGAGGGGGCATCTACCATGCCTGATTCATTTTTGTAATCCTTACAGCTTTTATTACAGTGCGTTATTCTTTGTGGCACTCAAGAAGACTTGTTGAGAAGTGAATTGAAACTTCATGCTGACTTATGAAATCTTTACGAAAGGGTAACAACATTGTGCAAGCATAGCCCTCTGCTATGCTTCTCATTATGCTTCTCATAAACTTCTCATTTCTCAGAACAGCTAATATCATTTTGTCCCAACCAACTTCCATAATCTACAATAAACCCTATACTTTACATAGGAAGAAACAGGGAAAGGAAAGGAGCTTACCGAACTGACACTGGGGCCCATAGTACCCTGCATCACAGTTGCAGGTGTTATTGTTGATGGTCTCCACACATTCTCCATGGCCGCTGCATGACCAGGGCTTACAAGAAGCTTTACGAGGGTCAGAAATAAATTATTTTGTTGTGATTACTTTTTATTACTCATAGTCATTTCCTTAGACATAGATAAATTTTTAGCTGAGACTATTTTAATAAACAGGAAAGGTTTATTTGTACCTCATAGACTTTTTTGCATAAAAACCATATGCTAAAATTTTTATTTATGTAATAAACTGGCCATATAGCCATAGACATTTGTTTTTAGAATGAATTTACTAATGCTAATACTCTACAATATTTTGGGGAAGCCTAGTGACATACATTGGAAACTCTTGAAATTACTTTGTTCTTAATGTAATAAGTATGTTAAATGATGACCTGACCTGACCCCAATCATTTCTGCAGTATGCTTGGCAATCTCTTCCTTTATAGGAAATACTACGGAAAGATTAAAAAAGTCCAAACTTGCTAAATTAGTAGAGTCCAATTTACCAGACATCAAATTAACTATGTTTTTCTGTTAAAATATGACTTGGAAAAATATTGAGTGTTTTGGAACTGTTCTAATAGTTTTTACAGAAATTTTTATACACCACAGATAATGAAACACCATAATGTTTCATTATATAGAATTATATAAGATGAGGACAAGAAGGAAACATGTAGCACCAAGCCCCCTAGTTACAATGAGGAAACTGAGGTGATGGAGCCCAAGCTCTTGGCCGGGCCCATCTCTCTGCTTCCACTTCCCCGCCTTATTATCAGGGAGACTGATTGTGTAGTTCCTCCTCCTTACCTCCCACATGTGCTTATCATCTTGATGTAAATTGATTTAGGCGTATAGTTTTTGGGTGTGAGGACCAGCCACACACACTAAAAATGCTCGGAAGTGACATGATTCAAGCTTATGTAAAAGATTGGACTTATTTTAGAATGTACTAGCAACTGCTCTCTTCCCCCAGCATTTCCATGGGATTCGTCCAATTACTGTCTTCACTCTAACCCTTCCTGAGCAGTGTGGCCATGTGGTCACTCCCCACCTGTGTAACAGAGGGCTGTCTTTCTTTTGTGGCAGGCGTCATCATTCCATTTCCCTGCATCTTTGATTCTCTTGATGTAGATCTCCACGCAGTCCTCTTTAGTCTTCCTGTTGTTGGGCTCCCCATCTCCCCAGTTCTCCGCTTCTTCAGTGAGAGACTTGTTGGTTCCCACCCAAGTCCATATCCCTCCTACCTTCCGGATTCCTATCCAGTAATAAGTACGACTGAAGGGAAGCGTCTTGTTCAGGTACTCAATTTCCGCCTTGTTTTGTATGGCAACTAAATCTGTATAATTATTTTGGCAGAACTTTCTAGCGTTTAACCAGTTCATGGTGTTTTCAGAATAATGGTAAGTCCAGCAGTTGGTTCCATGATGCGTGAAGAAATCTGAAAGACATCAGCATGAATTACGTAGACTCACAGTTAAGAGCTGAAAAGAACCTAGAACTAATCCGGGCTGAACCTGCCACTTAGAGATGAGGAAGCTGAGAGCACGAGTGTGACTTACCTTCTTGGGGTCACAGAATGAGTCATTTGCAGATTGAAGTAGAACCTAGACCTTCTGGTCCTAATCACTTTTTGCCATAATACAGACTACTTTTGCTCATAGCTCTATTTTAGACAAATTTGGTGGCTTTCTAGATTTATTTTCATAAAATAATTTTTTATCAAAATTCTTTCAAGTGAAATTTAACCAACATATTTTAGAAATTCATATTTCTTTTTCTTAGTGGCTGTCAATCATTTAAAACTAATTTAAGGGCCGGCCCCGTGGCTTAGCGGTTAAGCGCGTGCGCTCCGCTACTGGCGGCCTGGGTTCGGATCCCGGGCGCGCACCGACGCACCGCTTCTCTGGCCATGCTGAGGCCGTGTCCCACATACAGCAACGAGAAGGATGTGCAACTATGACATACAACTATCTACTGGGGTTTTGGGGAAAAACAAAAAGGAGGAGGATTGGCAATAGATGTTAGCTCAGAGCCGGTCTTCCTCAGCAAAAAGAGGAGGATTAGCACGGATGTTAGCTCAGGCCTGACCTTCCTCACAAAAAAAAAAAAAAAAAAACTAATTTAAGTACAATTTCATATAATTCTAAAATTTACTGTCCACTTTTTTATCCCGGGGTAATTTCCTGAAGGCTAACATTTATGTTTCTAAGGGAGAAGCAAAATAAGGACAGGAATAATGACATACTTTTTAAGTAATCTCTTTCATATCAAAAAGATAACATTTTACCATAAGAAGAGCTGCTTCCAGGAAAGCCTCAATACACCAAGCCTTATATATTTAACTCTGGATTAAAAAAAGAACAATTTACAAAGTGTTCAAGAATCAGACATAAAACCTGTCAAGTCAGTGGGACAAGGATCAAAAAATATACAAAGGGCCTGCCCTTAGAGAGCTCACACTTTAATCATAGCAATGACGTTGATGTGCACTAAACTATTGATAAAAAGTAGAAAGTGCAGTGCTAAATATGTGGTACAGACTGTAAATTTCCTATTAGATATTTCTTAATTGACTTTATTTCTTCATAAGTAAGATCTTTGTGGGATCATCAGGATTTGGACACTGAGGCAAAGGGTGTGGCAGGTTTAGGAGGTTTCTGGGGAAGAACTAACGGTGAGAGGAAGAAGAGAGATGTTCTCAGAAAGGGTGGAATTAACAGCTATTTACTTAATCGTTTTCCCTGCAACTATGTGCACCCAGTGGATATGTAAGAAAAAGGAACGTAAATAAAAAAAGTCGTAGCAATGTACAAATATCATAACGTACCACAACAGAGCACTGTCCAGACCCACAACTTGAAGACATTCCATAAGCCCATCTGAGTGCTCTGACATTTCAGTGGAAATACCTGCAAATAAAATACAAAATTTTGCTTAGCTTCATACTCTTAAATCACAAGTTTACAGCACCTTGAGAAGACACCTTTCTTAAAGTTCAAAACAAAATACATGTGCTTATTAACCCTGTCCAAGCTAATAGATTTCTCAGACATGGGTGAAAGAGTAGGATTAAATTTGCCTCAAAATTGATGCATAGTTGTTGTTTTTTTTCATGTCTTAGCCTCAAGTTGCTATTGGTCTTGTTCTAATTTCAGTAATTTTTTTGTACCTACTTTTCTGTTGAGTCTTTAGATGAAACTATTTGATATCTAGTATATATTACTTTAAAGTGTTCTTTGGTGCTCAATAAACTATTGATGTCTAGACTTAATGTCTAGACTCAATAAGCTATTGATGTCTAGACATTAATTATTATTGATGTCTCACACTTGATTATGACCAGTCAATGCTTCCAATAGCTAAAAGAATTAGATAGCCAAACAGACACCAGTAAAGAAAAGCAGTTCATTTTTTTTTCCAACTAAAAAGAAATACATTTTGAGCAACTCAAATGACAAGACCACAGTTTTCTGCACACCTTTAAAGCCATATTTTCTGAAGTGATATCACTTCTCAGGTAGCCCCAGGATTTAGTTGCAAAAGCACTAATTTCAACAAGCACTAATTCTTCTTCAAGAATCTCACCAGAGACAAGTCAAGGAGAAGAAATCAGCACATCTGAGAGGAGAGATTCTAAGAGCACTTTTTTAGATTCAGCATTTTTAGTTCTTGCCTTTTTTAAAACCAGAAATAAAATGCGTTGCTTCTTGTCCTGTGCCACCTGCCTCTGCAATCCCAAGAAGAGGTTCTATCCGAGCATCAGGAAATCTTTTGGGCTGAAAAGCTCACCATGGCTTTGCTCAGTCCTTCTCTAGCTCTTCTGTAGCTTCGGCCTCTCAGCTCAGCCCCGGGGTTCTCCAGGTCCTTGTCCAAGACTGCACTGCTGTGCTGCAGGGACACCGCACTGGGTGTCGCCAGAAAGGCTTGCTTCTTTCATTTCTCAAACTCATACTCACATCCTCCTCCTCCCTCTCTCCCTCCCCTTTCTTCCCCCACCTCTCCTTGCTCGTCTTTCCGCACCCTCTCCTAATCTGACCTCTGTCACCTCCTCTGAGAAAAAAAGAGCACTGTCCAAGAGTATTGTTGCTTGAATCTCCCTTCCTTCCCCCCTTGCCTCTAGTCCTCTTTCTGTCCTTCCTTCCATTCTGCTATCCTCCTTTGCTCCTCCTCCTCCCTCTCCTTCTCCTCCTCTCTCTCTCTCTCTCTCTCTCTCTCTGTCTCTCTCCTTTCTTGTTTTATAAATACTAGGCCAACCCTTGGCTAGCCATGGTAGAGGGCCCCTGATAATTGCAAACACCAGGCAATCAAAACAGTATTTCAGACAAATTTATGACATCTGTTAAACTTCAGGGGAGCTAGACAGAGTTGATTGATTTCAGTTCCTCTCCTCCCTCTTTCCTTGCTCACCCCCTAGTGGAGGTCCTTGTTAATGGAATCTCCTAAAGTTAAGCCCTGAAGAGAGCAAAGCACTCTAGCTTTTTGTGCTAGAGAGTTTGTGGGAACTACAAATATCTTTATATTTCTGGAGTGTGAAATATGAAGGAGATAGACTGCATATGAAATTAGGACCTGTACGATGGAGGGCAATGGAACGGAAGAGGCCCTGACATAATCAGATTTGCGTTTTTTAAAAGATAACAATAACAACAATAATAGCTATAGAGCTCAACATTCCATATCTATTACCTCATTTAATCTTTATAAAGATTAAATAGTACTACTCCCCAATAAGTACTATTAATATCCCTGTTTAAAAAGTCTCAGAGAGGTTAAGAACGCTGTGTTAGCCACATAGCTAGTAAGAGACTTATTTGGGATTTTGAACCTAGGTCAGTCAGTTCTGAAGCCTGGGCTCTTGATTATTAAGCTGCACTTTTTCTGGAAGGAGCTTGGAAGACGTGTTGAAGTGGGAACAAACCTGGAGCCAAGGAGATCCATGAAGTTCCAATGTTCCTACTATGCCCAAAAGAAATGTCTAGATTTGTATTTCTAAGTCCTCACCTTCAATTCTCTCTTGACTCTTGTCCAGTCAGGCTTTCAACCACACTGATTCCCTGAGACTACTCTCGCCAAGGTCCTCCACTTCACTAAAGCCAACAACCAATCCTCCATCTCATCTTGTTTGACCAATCAGCTCCTGGTTTTCCTCCTACTTCACTGACTATTCCTTCTCTGTTTCAATTGTTGATTCTCCTTCATCTCTCCAACCACCAAACCTATGGAGTGCTTCAGTGTTCACTGCTTTTCTCTTCTTATCTACCCTCACTGATCTGATGATCCAATCCAGTCTCTTAACTCTGATTACCACTAAAATGCTGATGACTCCCAAATTTATATTTTCAGCCAGGACCATTCCCCAGCCCTGGGAATGTTCCCAGTTCCCGACCAAATTTCTACCCAATATCTCCATTTAGTTGTTTAACAAGCCTCTCAAATTTTACACGTACCAAACTGAACTTCTGGATTTCTCCTCCAAACCTGGAGAACTCTTCCACAGCCTTTCCCATCTCAGTAAATTATAATTCCATCCTTGCTGTTACTTAAGCCAAAGACTTTGGAGTTAACTGAGACTCCTCTCTTCGTCTCACAACTCATATCCAATATATTAGCAAAATATTTTCAGCATTCAATCATTTCCATTCTATTAGGCATCACAGCCACCATCATCTCTCACTGATATTATTGCAAAGGCATCCCATTAAGACTCCATACTTCTACCCTTTTCCTCTTAAGGCATGTTTTCAACAAAACAACTTAAGTGATTCTGTTAAGATGTGTGTCATTCAGGGGCCCAGCCAGAGACAGAATTTACCACAAATGGGTGAATTCTTCGCCCACTGAAGAGCCTTTAATGGAGGGGCCACTTACAACAGATTAACAACAAGGTTAAGAGAAAAAACAGGAGAAAATGAGGCATCCAGAGACTGGCAACGGCAGGAAGCTGCTGTATCCTTGGGACTGAGGATTCAAGGGGAGGAAGTAGTGTTACCAGAACCCAATGAGAACTGTGACCCTAGAGGAGAAGTCACCCACCGGGAGCTGTGGTAGAGGAGGGATATGGGGAAAGAGTGGGCAAGAAATACCCCGACGATTCTCTCTTCTCAGTATCTGATTTCCTTTAGGAGCCTCTTATTAGCCTAACTAATTGAAAACCAGCCCACCAGTGACTGGATGGTGCGGCCTACAGGGTTCAGCCTCCTGGGACACTGAGCACGGAAGGTGAGAAGGGCTGGCAGGTGAGAGTGGGAGAAGGGAGAAGGCAACAAGCACAAAAGAACACAAGTCAGACCACCTCACTCCTCTGCTCAAAACCCTCCAATGGCTTCTCATCCCACTCAGAGTAAAATCTAAAGTCCTTACATTAGCTTACAAAGTGTTCCTTGAGCAGGCCCCTGCTCCCTAACCAGCTTTGTCCTGAGATTTCCTTTCTGTTTTGTAAGCTCAGCTATTCATTTACAGCATGCTATTGTAATTCCCCTAGCAATTTAAAATATTATAGTGGTAGAGGTTTTCAGAATATTAATTCTCTATATTTCCAGAAGCAGAAGGTCCAGCATTCAATAAATGTCAGTTAAACAAATGGATGGATAAGTGAATAAACAAACCTCTCTTTGGTCATAAGCTATAAATGTCCTTTTTATTTAAGAGTAGACTTTAGTGTTTTTGTTTTTTTAGTCATTATTTTGCCAGATGTCTTTGTTATTCTATTAGTTTGCTGGACATTTCTGTTTTTCTTTAAAAACTACAGACATCCAGGCCATAGTGAACAGCTGACAGATGCAGCTCAGTCTTAAATCACACTGATTGGCATTTCGTCAGAGTGGGACATATTAATTTCATGTTCAATGGCACTGTTTATCAGTTAATACCTAAAACTGTGTGCACGATGCATAGAATCTCCAGGATGCACCTGGGAGCCTCAGGCCCACACTGTTTCTATTTCCTAGGAATAAAAGTAACATGAATCCAAAACAAACAAACAAACAAACAAAAACTACAGACAAATCCAGGGTTTATCACGGGTAGAAGGAATGTACAGTCCCACAAAACAACCAGGCCAGAGTTAGGCCTAGGTCTATCCACCTTCCTGACCTATCAAGACCAAATCCACCGTGGCTACCTGTCTTTCTTACACCTGAAGTGTAGGCCCTCCAATCACCTTTCATCTCCTAGACAGTTTACACAAGTTGCCGTCTCCTGACTCGACCTTGCTTTTCTTCCCAAATTCTTCCTTGCCATCCTCTAGAATTCCTACTTCACAATCAGCAAACCCCCCCAACCTCCAATTCCTCTCCAAAACTTTCTTCTACCTCCTTGCTTTAATGGCAACCTGGCCTCCTGAGAACATCACTTCCCCTGCAGGTCTCTCAAGATGATGATGTTTATTCTCTTACACTCCACACACCTCAGGGTTGGAAGGCAGAGTGATGCCCTCCTTTATCATGAGTTCCTCTTACTGATCTTTGTTCTTCCAGCCTCTTGTAAAAAAAGTGAAAAAAAGAAATAAAATAACCCTACTTCTTTGAAGCTCATGATGCTGAGATGTACCATCGTCTCACTGTCTTCATTGCAGTGACCTACCAGCCCCTCAGGCACTGATGACTTTGGCACCAAGCTCCTGGTCTTCCTCTACCTTTAAGCACCCCCTGTAATCCCATGTGACTCCACCATCCAGGTACACGACCTATCCCACAGCCTGGATTCTCAGTTCTCCAATAGCATTCTCCTCCACTCAGCCCAAGCTACCTTCTAACCTAGACATGGCCTCAACATTATCACCCAAAACTGTATCAACTCTAAAATCACATAATTAAGCATCCCACTCTTTAATCACAGTCTCCTATTCTTGTAGGTTTATTGCTTAAGCACCTCACTGCAACACTTCTTAATCCTACCTTATCGAACCTTCAGGCCATAACTGTTCCTTTATTTCTAACCACCAGCTTTCTTCTTCATTTCCATTCTATTCTGCACTGTTTCCAAATGTGTCTTGTCTCTATAACTGGATTTTAAACTTTTGCCTTCTGAGACAATTCGTTCCATTTGTGAAAGGTGGTCCTGCTCCTTGTGATGAGCCCAAATCTGCATTTGTTCATCCACTAATTTATTTATTCTTTCAATAAATACTTGTTGAGCATCTATTGCATGTCAGGAATATGCTGTGTTCTAGGAACACAGCAATGAACGAAGTAATTTGTCCTTACCCCTGAGGAACTTAGAGACTAGTAGGGAAGATAAATACTAAACGAACAATTACATAAATAATTATTTCATTACAATTAAAGGAAGAGAGAAAAATATGGGCTGTGAGAGCGTTAAAGAGGTGACTTAGTCTAATGAGTCAATTGTCATGAAGGGGTATTTAAGCAGAGAACCTGAAAGATGAGTAGAAGTCAAACAAGCAAAGAGTGGGGGACTCCTTGATGGAGAGCAGGTAACTCCAGGTAGAAGAAGCCAGCGTGTTCAAAAGCACCAAAGTGGGCAGAAACAGCTCTCCATGGTGGATGGAGTGCAATGCCTGAAGGGGTGTAGTGTGAAATGAGGTGGAGAGACGTAGCAAGGACTAGGTTTTATATGGCTCGTTGGCCGTGCCAATGACTTGGAGCCACAGTACATCTCAACAGCACACTGAGAACCTGGAGACTAACGAGTTTATGGGGATTTTTATCATGTAACCCAGGGGCGATGATAGGGGTCCATTCTGAGGGCTGTCAGTGGGAATGGAACACAGTTGATGAGACTTATTAAAAGAACAGTTGATAGGAACAGTTTCGCACCTTTGGCAGATCAGGGAGAAGAAAAGATCTCCTTTTTTTTTTTTTTAATTTTTTTTTTTTTTTTTTTTTTCCCTCCAAAGCCCCAGCGGATAGTTGTATGTCATAGCTGCACATCCTTCTAGTTGCTGTATGTGGGACACGGCCTCAGCATGGCCGGAGAAGTGGTGCGTCGGTGCGTGCCCGGGATCCGAACCCTGGCCGCCAGCAGCGGAGCGCGCGCACTTAACTGCTAAGCCATGGGGCCCGCCGGAGATCTCCTTGATTATAGCCAAAACTCTGTTTTGGTTTTATTCTCTTTTTTTTTTGACAAACAGGAAGCCTGTCTTACTGCTACATGCCCCTTTGCAGTAAAACGATCTTATAAACCAGCAGCATGACCATGTATATGTATATATGAGGAGGAAAATATTTTATTTTCTCTTGGCTTAGAATCTTGGGAGAGGGTGGCTAAAATTTTGAGGTAGAAGTGATACTTATTATTTCTAACTGAAAAAGGACCAGAAGCTCTTTCTGTTTAGAGAGATTTTTGTCTTCTTCCATAAAAAGCTCTCTTCTAATCCTATGGTGCTAACATTGAGAATGGTTCCACTTCTCACTTCTGTTTGTACCACTTACCAATGTCCATGTGACTTGGGCACCTGTATTCCTTCTGAATAAATTTAATTTGTTCAATTTATTCTCTCCTTTTAGACCTGGGAAAGCCAACTCTGTGCATATTCTCTTTGCACTTCGAGCTGATGTCTCAAGTGTGTGTCCATTTCAGTCCTACATGAAAACAGCCCTAAGTAATAGGATCTATCTTTATTTTCCATTTTTCTTTAATTTTTCTTTAATTAATACTTTGGAGCTAAGATTAAGTATAAAATCAAAGTAAAACCAACTTTAGCTTACAACAGTGTCTCCTGAGATTCTAAGCCAAGAGAAATTAAGATATTTCTCTATTCATATCTGCATGTATATAGTCATGCTGCTGGTTTATAAAATCATTTTACTGCAAAGGGGCATGTAGCAGTAAGACAGACCTCCATCTTTGTCAAAAAAAAAAGAATAAAACCACAACAGAGTTTTGATTATGACAGTGTTAGACCCGCAATTTTTTTAGCTTGGGTAACCAAAATTTTTTAATTTTTATTTTTTGGTTAAAAATTAAACCATGTTTTCTTAGAAATTTCAGATATTCAGATTCTTTGATAACAATAGGATTCTCCTATTGTTAGCTTGGTTTACACCAGGCTTTGTGGATTGACACTATTCCCAAAGAGAGAAGACACCTATTTTGGGTGGGGGAAAACTGCTCTGGCTGTAATCCTGAAGAATAACTGAGTCTGGAGAGTAGATGAAGGTGAGTTGGTTAACTTGAGCAACCTAGAATTGAGACTGGCATGAGGCAAAGACTCCAGGATAAGGACTTTGTTTCACTGATGTTGATGAATGTTTTTAGATTATTAATTTTTTTTCAGATAACTACATTATTGATGCAAGAGCCTATATGTATACCACTTCACACCCACTAGGATGGTGATAATCAAAAGGACAGACAATAACAAGTATTGGACAGAATGTGGAACCCTTATGCGTTGCTCGTGGGATTGTAAAATGGTGCAGCCCTTTTGGAAAACAGTTTGGCTGTTCCTCAAAAAATGAAACATGGATTTACCACATGACCCAATAATTGCACTTCTAGGTGTATGCCCAAGAGAATTGAAAACATAAGTCTACTCAAAAAGTTG